ATATATAGATGATACAGAGATAGAGATAGCAGTTGCATAGCAGGGTTGTTTATTGGTTGAACTTATAGTAGAAAAATGTAAATGTAAGGTACCTTCAAGGGGCTGCTTCTCAGCTTGGTCCTCTAAATTCATGCTCACTGTGTAACATTCTCCCTCTTGTCTCCTTGATGCCACCAAGCTGATCTTCTTTCAGTCCCTTAAACAAGTCTAACTCTGTACTGTTCCATTGTTTGAAATATCCAGCCTTTCCTTCCCTTTTGAATTCTTCAAGTCTCAGCTGAAGTATCACCACCCAGAGAAATCGCTCTTGACCTCAGTTCCCCCCTGCCATTCTTTATTTTTGCCTTTTTTGTTTTCTCCACAGAACCAATCAAAATTCACTACTATTACATGCATTTTAGTGTTTACTTATTTGTTTGCTTCTTTGTTTTATTGCTGTTTACCCTTCTAAAACTTCAGCTTCATGAGAAGAGGCACTGTCTGTCTTTTTGGCTTGTCACTGGAACTGCATACAGTAACTAGTAGAGGCTCAATAAATATTTCCTTGTGAAAATTAGGATGGATGCATTATTTTGTTGCATTTTTCGGTTATCTCTTTGTATTTGAAAATGTATGATTCCTTGGTGTCACATATTTTTTGTTGTTGCTTTAAAACATGATGGTATAAAAGAGATAAGGAGAAAATAAGGAAAGGGACACAATAAGCCCCCTAAGAGATTCTATTTCTGTTGTCACTAGGGTAAAATATAACATCTCGACATTGCTGCACCATAGATGCTGAATATCTTTTTATCTTCCTTAATTTTAGCAGATACGAACAGCATAATTCAAACAGTGAGTATACACTCCCTTAAAACTTTAGTTACAATCAAAATAGAATCATGGAATGAATATTTTATCATCCTTAGTTTAAAATTCTTCAGAATAACGTTGTAAGAGTCAGACTAGTGTTTTCAAGTCAAACCTAAGCAGAAAATCCCAGGAAAATAGATCTGCTTAATTTCACAGGCAGATTTTAGGTACTTTAGGCAGCAAAGGCAGAAAACATCAATATGACTACTCAGAGATGATTAAGAAAGCTATGCTTCAATTAGAAGAGTAAATCTCCCTGCCAGTTGAGAGTAGTTAAGCAGACAAAACAATGTATTCTGGATTATTCCAGGGTCCAATGATTATGGAATGCTTCAGTGTTAAGTGGAAATGCAGATTTGAAAACACTTTCCTAAGTACACATTCCTAAACACATTCCTTTTTATCAGGCAAATGACTCCTGCCCAAGTTTGAGGAACATTTGAAAACCATTCAAAACCACTGGACTTTACGAAAGTATAAAAATAATCCTTCTCTAGGTTGGCAACTCAAAATTCATTTTTCATTAAAAAATAGTCCTTAATGATGGTTGACTTTTATAACTATTTCACAAAATCATGTGTAAATTAGTATGCCTCCAGAATTATTATTAATAATATTAGTGTAAGCCTTAGAAGGGAAGAGAGAAGAACTATTTTTTTCTTATTCTTCCTTTTTACAATATCAAATTAGGCAATGTATATTTTCTCATGTCTCCTACTTTTTGTGAATCAATTTATCTAATCCTAGTGCCCTATTCCTATAGTTCTGTAGTCAGAGCTTTCCTAAGGCCTCTCCCTTCCCTTGCCTAAGGACATCACACAAATTCTAGTGTAAGCACAAAACATAGCATGACCAAAGACCACTCCCTCACTTTCTGAATTCAAAGACTCATGTACAGGATATTTATTCCAGACCTATTTGCCATTTTGTAAATCTGTTCATGCTTACTAGCCCAAATCAATCCCTAAATGGTGGAACATTGGAAAATGTTGCTTGAAGAATTTCAAGCAATGATATAAAAAGTACTTGGGGAAAGACCAACAGACAAACAGATATAATCACAAATGTGCTAATTATATTGCCACAGTTCTAAATAGGGAGTCTGTGACTAGGATACACAAATCATATACTTTTGACTTTGGTAGTGTCTTTCCTCTTTCACAAACTCCATAGTATGTTTTTTGTTTGTTTCCATGAAAACTTTCTCACCAGCAGTTAAGGAATAGAGAAAAATTGCCAAAGTAAGCATTTGTCGATCAGGGATATAATTTTCCTCTTCAAATTATATTTACCATTTATTTATCATATATTTCAGAAGTTCTCCACTCATGGTCAAAATAATGACAATATGTGTGGATCGGGAAACTTTATTTCAGACTTTTACTTTGAAAATCTTTATAAAATCATTTAAAGTTCATGAAAATATGCACACAGACATGCAGTGATGATGCAGGTAAACTGTCTTATCAGCGACCTGTGCACAAAATGGACTTGCAAAATGTTGAGCTGTATTTTAATACACTTCAAAACTAGCACTTAAAAGGCATAGTAGCAGCAAATCTACTATGATCCTTATGAACAATTACTTATTAACATACTTCTCTTTATGATATACCAGCCAACTTTTTCTCTACAACACAGTGACATGCATTTCAAAAAACCACACTTTGCTCTAATTAAAACATGGGATTATTTTTCTTCCTGGAGGCTTCTCACTTCCATTGTGATATTTGCAGTCTTTGTAGCTGATGGAGAGTTTCTAAGAAAGCTTTGCTAGGTTTCCATGTGTGCATTTTGAAAACTGCAAAGGTTTGAGATGAAACTTCATTGCCTTGAAGAGCCAATAATGCTAGATCTTGTCACCAGGTGATAGCTCAGTGTTTCATCTTTCAAAAAGCACCTGCACTGAAGTGGATCTCTTACAAAATTCCATGAAGATTTTCCATGACTCAGTTCCCTCAACAATATCTTAAAAAGAAAATGTGATTTCTATATCACGTAGAACACCCAAGATGTGAATCTGCGGAACTTACTTGTGCTGATATGCTCAGACTTGCTGCTCTTTGGGGCTGGCCTTTCACACTGTGTGCCTGACCAATTGGTGGAGCATCTGGAAAGATGAGAAAAAAAATAATGAAAAATAACATCCATAGGTCTGCTAATGTTATGTCAATCAAATGAAATGAACAAGGAACTTGACATAAAAGAATTTATGAAAATTAGGAGACATTTCTAGTAATTTCCTGCATGTTGTCAGTATGCTGAGGGTAACTCCAGTTGGCCTTCACTTGTTGAAATACTTTTTAAAATTTAGCTTTGTAGTCATTTTTCTTTATTCTGTGTTAAATCTAAAGTTGGCATTCTTGCATCCAGCAAAACTGCAATCTTAAGAATTGGGAAATAATTTGAGAAGTATTTTAAAATGATAAGTAGCTACTATAGAAGTTCAATTAGCCTGTCAAGCACATCCTTTATTAAGTTTCTGGGGATTGTTTTTTTTCCCCTGGTGGTTCTAAGTTCAAAGTGGAACTAAATACCAAACAACAAATGGTCATCTGTCTCATAGCTCAAGCTACAGGATTTGTCCTCTTATAATCAGAGATTATAAGATTTTCCATTTAAAATCATACTTCGCAAGAGAATGTACCCAAGTTTTTATTGGGAAAAGTTGTCATCCTCATATAGGAACCATGACACCATGATGAGAAATCTAGCGGAGAATTAAAATAACTGATCTGATTAAAATACTTTATTTAAACAAAAATCACAACTGTATAATTAGCTGGTTGCATCAAAATAAATTCTGGAATGTTTTTAGCTATCTTTGGAAAATGCTTATTGGCTAATACAAGATGCCTCTGTGCATCTGTCAGAGGAAACCCACAGAGAAACCATTGAATTGGCTTCAATTCTTAATTAAAATGACAGAGAAATACCACCACATCATGAATAGCTGTACACAATAAAAGAACAGCTTCCAGAATCATTCCAAGTAGATCTCTCTGAGCATGGTGGCCAAACTAAATAACTGCAATTTCAAGGTCTCTGCCAATTCTGTCATAGCCAATTCAGATAGCTGAAGCTGGTTTTGGAACCAGGCTTCTCTGCTGCTCTGTGAATTATTTGGGATATTCATGAAGACAGTACTGGCTGTCCTAAAACATGGGCAGAATCTCATAAAATCATCGTTGCTGACAAACTCATATGATGGAAACAAAAATTTGCTTCTTAAAAGCATGTATTAACTTAAGTATAATTGATAATAATGTTAATATTCCAGAATATAGTTATTTGATTAATAGTGATATTGTAAAACTATGATTATGAAGTATGATTTAAATGAAAATTAATATCATTATAGTATTATTAGGTCATCACTCACACATTATCCTTTTTGTTCAGTATCTTAATAAACAGCTTTCATATATATTTCTATGCATCACATTTATTATACACCATGCTACTAGTAAACCATTAAAATAAGTAAATTTTAAGGCCAAGTCTATGATTCTGTCTATATTACTGAAGTGAGGTAATGGAATGAGCACATTTTCAAATAAATATAATAAAGTGAACTAGTAAAATCACTGATTTTTAAAAATCACTTTTTTTTCCTTCCTCAGTTGTGGTTTTTCAGATAAGTGATCCAGAAAATTGTTTAAATTCTTTACAGTCTCTAGTTCTAACAGTCCACACATAATTTAAAATGCGATGTTTAGGAAGATTTTGCAAACATGTCATTAGAGTGAATTCTGGTCATTTTGCAAAATTCCTTTTGCTCTTTGTAGCTTTATGTCTGTCAAGTCTTCCTAGTTGACTACTGAGGATTTTTTATATGCTCCAATGGAAAAAAATAATACTGCTTGCTTAGCAATCTTATCATATAGCTAATGTGTACAATGCTATTTTTGTGCAATTATATTGAATTATTTACTAAAATATCAAAATTTGCTCTTTACCTCTTCTGGTTAAAAACAACAAAATGACCAAAATCAGGGCACAGAGTAAATAAGGAGAATGCCCTGTAATTTATGTATGATACTAGAGATAAGAATCTCTGGGGCTCATCATTACACAGCAATGCTTGATGCTTGGAAGTCAGAAAATGGAATTGCTCAGGAATAGGAGGATTAAGTGCTGATTGACCAGATTATGTTCTGATATGAGCATCATATATTTTAAATACTTCATGAAGTTACGCAAAGTATTCCTTGTGAACTCTAAAAGATCAGAGAGATATTTTTTAAACAATGAAGATAAGGAGATAGTGTGATTCTTTATCCAAACTCTGGATTTTTTAAGTAAAACAGGTGGTATTTGTTAACAATTTCCTATGTTATGCTTGCTTGGAACCCAGGATTTATAATAGATATAAGAAATCATCTGCTAGTGGTCATAAAGCTCTTTTCTTTTAAGTAGTGGATGTACATTTAGATTTCTAATGTTTAGGGAATATTTTACTTATTACATACTGGAAATAACCCTCAAAGATTGTGGTGGAGAAATAATTAATTTTAAGTTATACATCTTAATCATCTGATAATCACCTCACAATTTTCCCTGTACTCCTTATAAAATAATGTTTTATGGCCAAAGATAAAATATGTTCCACTGTTCTACATTTGCTCCAATATAAAAAAAAAACACCTCTTTTGTGATATTAAATCAAATAGAAATCATTACTCTTGTTGCCTACCTTACAAAATTACTACTTAAGGCATTTGCTGCTCCACAAGTTCTTCTTCCAATGGCTGATTTAAGACCAAGTATTTTTACCATCTTTATAAAAATTAATAAATCTTCATACTCTGAGTAGACTACAATGATCAGAACCGTTAATGGCAGGGCATTTAAGAATCAGAATGTGTGCAGATCATCAAAATTTCCTGTCCAATTCACCATATAATCATGCTGACTATAATATGTCTGGCAACTCTTTCATTATTCCTCAAGCAAAATGTATAGCCCATGGCCTGGTCATCTTTAATCTGTACTGTTGCAATCCACTGCTCCCTGCCAGTCCTCCTCAGACAGTCATCTCCCAGGTGGTCCTGCATGGCCATCCCAAGAAATCTTTTTCTTTTTTTCTCCACATCACAATCACCTGTATGTCATTCGTTTTAAACATATTTTACAGTTGTTTCCCATTGTCCTTAACTGTAAGAAAATGAAAATCACCTTCTTTTTTTATGTGCTGATCTTTATGCCACTCTAAATTATTTAACCCTTTAAACACCTTCATGAATTTTAACAAACTATTATTAGATCATGGATGATAGATGGAGAAAGAGATTAGGAGGATAGATAGATTCTTATTTAACTAATTAAACAGTTGCTTATCCTTCTTTCTTCGCATCATCATATGAAGATATTGCTCCCAGAAGTTTCTTGAAGTCAGTAGCTTCCTGGTAAGACGTTACTGATTGAACATTCTTTTTTGACTCCTCCCTTTCTTCCTGAGGCCATTGGCATTAAAAAGAAAGACTATTTACTATTGTTTTCTTAATCTCATCCTTCCATTTCTGTTTTATCTAGATGTATAAAATGTTCCTAACTGTAACATATTTTATGACATTTCTTTTATGTTCTAGATTAGACTGATTTATCAAACTGAAAATTTTTTTAAAATTGAAGTTCTGGAGTCCATATGCTAGATATTTCCATTAGGCAGTTTGGAGTTGTGGCCAGATATACCCATTTTAACAAAATAACACTGATACAAGTAATTCACAAAGCACATGTCAAGAACTGTTTGAGATTAATTCTTCTTATATTCCCATAGATTTTATTTTTATACTAAATATTAGTCAATCATTTAAAAAAATGTTTAGGCTGGGCATAATATGAATACCCAGCATGATTGTTCATAAGATTGAATAACATTGGTAGAAGTTCTTTACATAGTGCCTGTAAATCTGAGTGGTTTTTTGTTTTTAGAAACTAATTCTCATCTGAATGTTAGTAGATGAAATGATTGGTTAGTTAATTTATTGTATCATTTAACAGTTTGTTCAATTATTGCATAGTTACAGTGTTTTCTGTTTTTTGTCCTAGCTTAGATGTGAAATTTTACATAGGTTCAATTAACATTTGCTGAACTTTGTGCCAGATCCTAGGATAAGTATTTTCATATGAAAAAGATAATCTTGTCCAATTTATATAATTTATGAGCTAGAATTATTCATCATGTAAAATGAGGAAGTGCATGTTCAACTGATGTGCCTGAAAACAACACAGCTAGTAATTGGTAGTGATAAAATGTGGGATTATTATTATTTCAACATGGCTTTCTATGACAATGCCATAATCTTCTAATCCAATATAGGAGTGGGAAGGAATGCTTTCCCTTTCTCCCTCATGCCCAAGAGAGTACCAGTCCCTTAGTAAGTAAGTCAAAATACTGTCTGAACAAAAGGAACTAATATACTTTTTTGAGTAGCAAAATCATAAGTATTGGCTCAGACCTGTCTTCAGTAATGTCTAATATTCTGTCTCTGGAAGTGACAGTGAGGGACATGTTATTAAAGAGTGTTAATATCCTCTTTGAAATCAACTTCACATTTTTGGGTTTGTTCCAAAATACTGTAGCTATGTCTAATATGTCTTAAAGATCTATCATTTATAAATTCATCTATATTACTACTCAGTATAATTTTGAACTTCCACAACAATTCACTGTATATTTACTCATTTGATACTATTTTTTATACAGCTTGGTACCACAATTTCTATTTATTCAGTACTATTCTTTATCTGAATTTGGCTGTTATTTCTTATATAGCAATAGCTAGGTATGCTTCATTTTCTTCAAAAGGCTTAAGGCAGTATCTTAAATTTATGTTTGTGGTCAGAAGTATACTTGATACAACTCTATTACTATATATTATAATGCCTAGTTTAAAAATTACATTACATTAAGTCCTTATGTTATGTAGTACTGATAAGATAAGAATGCCAAACTAGTCTTACATTAGTATTAAAAATGTGATCAGGAAGAATTCTTGATTTCTGAAAAGTGTTAATGTAATGAAGTAAAAATGTAATGAATGTTTGATAAACTCTGGCCAGAAATCATTTTAGGAAAAGTAAAACTTAATGAGTAATTTCAGT